ATGCTATGAAAAGTTAGCTTTATATATCTGGGTCCTGGGCATTTTAAGTCCAAAGGTTTCAGCCTTCCTTTGACCCATTTTCATGAGTAAGAATGCACAGAGGTTTGGTGGCAGAGGCAGCAAAAGAAGTTTTACCTTGTTATTCAGGAAGAATCAAGAGATTTATGCCAGTGGTATTAAAGGGGAAGTGCGTTTTTTTGGTACCAGGGATCGAAATTGGGACCTTCTGCTTGCGAGGCAGGTGGCAGAACCACTGAGCTAAATCTCTGGCCCTGGGAAACTGCCTTCTTTTTAGATCTTTGTGGGCTTTCTTCCTTTGACTGCTTTCACTGTCTACTTAGGATGATGTTAATGTAAGTACAGTTCTTTTGCAGTCCATTTTGTTTTTCATTTCCAATAGAAATTCACTTTACTCATGACAAAACAGAACTAAAATACTCTCCCATTTCTGATATCAACCTAAGATATTACTAATACAACAAACATTCAGCAACAGTTTTTTTGTGTAGTTTTGTGCTAGAACACCATGCTGTGCACTGAGGATGCATACCACTTCACCTTTAGGATAGATTATTGTTCAGTGCAACCTGGCATCTTAAAACAACTCTTTGTGTCTTCAGTCTCCTGTTCTAACTACTTTGTGAAGTTCCTCAGTGCTTGTAAATTTGGGACATGTTCTTTAAAACTTTTTTTTTATTAGTACCTATTTGCAGTACATAATATTTATTTTTTTTGTGTGGAGTTGGTATATGTACATAACACACCTTTATTCTTTTTTTCATCCCCTTTTCCTCTCAATCCCTCACCCTCCCTCCATCTCTTGATCTCCTACCCATTTGAGAAAGATCCATCTTCTCACTTCCTATTTCCTTTTACTTTACTCTTTATTTATAATTTGGGTTTCTGTTTATAGAGAAACCATTCAATATTTAAGCTTGTGTGTCTGATTTATTTCCCTTAATATTATGGTCTCAAGGTGCATTCATTTTCTTACAGATGACTCAAATTTATCTTTCTTCATGAGTAGTATTCCAGTACTGGAGTACTTCAGAGTAGTACTCCAGAGTAGTGCTCCATTGTGTGTAAATATCACGTTTTCATTATTCATCTTTTGATGGTTATATAGTCTGTTTCCAAGATTTAGTGTTATGAACTGTGCTGCTATAAACATGAGTATGTTTGTATCACTGTGATGTGATGCCTTTAACTCTTTTGAAAAGATACTTAGAAGGGGAATAGCTGGGTCAAAATTTCTAGTTTTAGTTTTTTGAGGAGCACATTCTTAATGCCTTCCTAACATATAGGGGCAGTGCCCTTTGATTGTCTCCTTTATCCTTTCAAAAGAGCCCTACTGTTTAACTGTAAGTTCCTCTTGCTGTACTTTACAGTATAAAACTATGCTGGTACACAAGAATTTTGTTACCATGTAGTACTTTAAATTGTATATACAGGAGTTTAGTCTTGTTTCTCAAAATGACTGTAATAGAAACTGAAATTAAAACTGTTCTTAATACAGTTAAAAATGTTCTTGTACAGTTACACTAGGGAGAATGATGAATTTTGTACATTGAAAGTGTTCAAATTTCAGCACATTGTTAGGAAACATGACTTTGTTTTTAAAGCTCCAAAGTCACATGCATAATTGAGAAATTTTATGCTTCTCATGCATAAAGTTTATTTTTAGATTCTCGTCACTAGATTTGTGACTACACATTTCTTAAATCTTGTTGCTGACATTTGAACAAATGGAGATTTTCATAGCTTTGCCATCCTATAGGAGCACAGGAGTTGTTTCTATTTTTATTTTAATTAAAGTATACCTTATAAACTTAGAAACTATGGCATTTTGTGACAATAATACACATGGACAGATTTTGTATAAAAATCATAGCTGGGGCTGGGGATTTAGCTCAGGGGTACTGACGCCTGCCTCGCAAGCACAAGGTCCTGAGTTCGATCCTGGTACCAAAACCACCCCCCCCCGAAACAAAAAGCATAGCTGTTACGATATTTTTATTCATAAATAATTTCAGATGTAGGAAAACATTACAAAAACAGTTCAAAGAAGACAACACAACCTGTGCCCCAAGTTACCTATTGTTAACCTTTGCCCCATTTGTTTTATCATTTGCCTGCATAGATGCTCTTTGCAGATAGAGAAATAGTTTTATTTTCTTAACCATCTGTGGCCCTTTACCCTTCAATGGTTTAGTCCAGGATCAAAAATTATATTTAGTTTTTATGTTTTTGTAGTCTCTTTTACTCTGTGGTGTTAATTCCTCAGTCTTGTTTCTTCTCATGACCAACATTTTTAAACAGTGTGTCCTTACCTCTCTCTCTCCTTTTTTCCCTTTGACTCTCTCTTTCTCCCAACGAAGTAGAATGTTCCTCATTGTGATGTGTTTGATATTTCCTACAATAGATTCAAGATTTGAAAACCTAGGTGAAATACTGCATAATCAATGTTGTATTTTCTTGGAATATCACATCCAGAGGTACCTGCTTCTCACTGATGATATTGACTGATTCTGGTCAAAGTGTTATGTAATTCCTCCACTGTATAGTTACTATTCTTTTCCTAGCAACTGCTGAGCAGTTGGTATTAAGCTACTTCTCATTAAAATTTGCACTTTACATTGAGCAAAGTGATCATTATTTGTTTACTACATTATTCTTTAAATTGTAAATTTCATTTCAAAGTTTTATTATCTTGATTTTAGGGTTTATAAATAACTTTTATTCATAACTGCCATCATAAGCCAGTCTTTGTATATAAACCACTGAGCTAAATCCCTGGCCTATACTCTCTCAATTTTAAAGGAGCTGTATATCATATCAAGATAAATTCTTTGAACAGCAATGTGAAATGCTTTCATAATAAATACTTGGCTTTGTGCTTAGCACTATCTATGACTACAAAAAAATAGGTGCATATTAAATAGCAAATTTATCAAAATGCTTCACAATTCTCAACTATTCTTCATAGCTGGCTACTGTTCTTTTACAGACTAAAAAAAAAAACTTGAAAACAACAACAAAACAAATTACAGAAAGGACACCTTTTAGAGGTAGGACCCAGTTTTCTCAAGTCCATTTTGTTTACTACTGTATTTTCAGAAATATATAAAGTGGACTAATGGATAGCCCACAGAATTTTCAATTTCATTGTACAACTTCAAGAGTTAGGAAAAGTCAAAGGGTCCATCAAAATCTAAGGGGGAAAACTACAAGGCCCTAAGACTAGAGCATTAATTACTTTTTTTACTATTTCAGATGTTTCCAAAGCAGACAAAACACTTAGATTCTTACAAGTTTTATGAAAACTATACTAAAAATAAATGACAATAAAATGAATCTGAGGACTGGAGATTTAGTTCAGTGGCACCACACTTGCCTTGCAAGCTTAAGGTCCTGAGTTTGATCCCCAGTACCAAAACAAAAAAAAGAGAGAGAGAGAGTGAGAGAGAATTTGATTATTTCTCACACTGTAATTTAATTGCAATTAAGACAATCAATCTAAATAGCATACTGAAACTCTTAGGTTGATGTGGTAAAAATTCCAATATCCAGCAAAACAAAGTTTAACTTTTTTGTCCATCTATGTGTAAGTTTCTGCTCTTAGAGACACATGTTCACTATTAGAGAAACCACAGAGGTCAAAAGAAGTAGATGCAGAAGTGAATTCTGAGACCTTAGTGGCAAAAATGGCCACTCGAATCTAGATTAGACTTCAATTTTACTGATTTCCTGAACTCCCTGGAAGGTACAAACAATCCCTAGTTTCATGAGCTTTAAATTATGTAACATGCTTTGTTAACTCTTCAAATGATCTCCAATGCTCAATGAATGTATTCAATATGAATTCTAACATGTTGATTTTGCTGTGTAATAACACATTAAAATGGATCCCCAGTACCAAAAAATTTTTTTTTGTTTTAAAAGGGTCAAACATTATTCATTGTCTTACTTTCTCCAACTTTTCATGCATAGATAATCTGTGATAGCAATTTGGCATTATTTTGTATACTTATTTTAGCTTTTTATACACAGTGATTATCTGTTGATAGCTAGAGCCTATTAGTATTTAGATTCTGGGAATCTAAAGTTTTCCAATACTTTTATAAAGAAAATCTTATTTTTAAACCCTAGGAGATATTTAGCTGCATACATAGGAAAACTCTGAATGCATTATGAAAAATAAGTTCCTGAGATTTCCTTTCAACAATACTTTTAAAACACAGATAAAATTACTTCCTGTCTCTTAGTTTCCTGTATCCATGGCAACCTCTGTTTTACACACTAACTGTAGAGGAACCAATGTGAAGAGTGGTGCTTCCTGAGCAAACTGTGGCTAAAAAAAAAAAAAAGAGGTAGAGAGCTGGAGGTCAACAGAAATGGAGTTTAGCAATGTCGCTCTTCAGATTTAAAAAGAAAACCCTTACTTGAATCAGCTGAGTGTTAATAATATCAATTTCCTGTTCTTGGTAAGATTATTTATTTAAATATAAACTTTTGGCTAGAATGAAATATTTTAGTTTTGTGAAATATTGTGGCTTAAAGAGTTTAATTGTTCTATAATATATTCTTTATAAATTATACTATTTGATATTAAATTTTAAATTGATAAAGGGATGTACATCCACATTCTGTCATCCTACATCAATTGTCACCCTGGTTATCAATTGTGATATATAAAATTAAATATTTTAAATTAATTTAGCAAACATTTTGCAGTTCATTAAACCTGAATTATCTTTTTGTCAGATAGTCAGTTAATGGCTAGCAGGTGTTAATAATTCTATATCATATTCCAAACACTCATTGTTTTATACTATCAAACATAGTATGATTTATATTATTGGCTGATCCTAATTAAAATAGAATACTGAAATTTTAGTATTATATAACTTATATTTTTAAGAGCTTTCTGATCATTTAAAGTTTTTCCTTCTTTTCTTATAGCCAATTCTGATATGAACAGAAAAACCAAGAACAGGGCTATGTGTGGATTACAGTTTTCTGTCTTGCCTATGACTCTTTCTACTTGTTACCTGTTTTCTTGTATTGTTATTCCATAAAGAGATATTTGAATGTTTGTCAGCTCTGCTCTTGGAGACAAATTAATTGCCATATAATTTAGGCCTTTCATGTATTCCTAAGAATTTTCATGGAAGTACAGTTTTCTGTATCTGACTGGAATAATTATCTTGTGGCATCGTATTTGGATAATTCTAGTATTGTGTATGTATATCCAAACACCTTTGTTCATTTGGGGCATCTGTATTTTTTATATCTAAATAATAATTTTATAAAACACTTAGATCCTGGAATTTTTAAGGGACTTTCAAATCTTCGTGATTTTAATTTATAAAGTAATCAAGTATCCTTTGTTCCAAGAGGAGTGTTTAAAGATCTAGTTTCAGTTCAGTATTTAAACCTACAAAGAAATCACTTCACTGTCCTTAGGAGTGGTACCTTTGTTGGTATGGCTGCTCTTCAGATTATTTGATTTATCAAGCAATAATATTTTAAAGATAATAAGACTTACTTAGGCTTTCCACACCGCAAAAACCTTAATTGTTTGTATCTAGAAAGTAATAATTTAACAAAAGTACCATCAAATGCTCTTGAAGTACTTAAGAATCTTAAAAGACTTTTTTTGTCTCATAAATCCATTAAAATAATACAGCCATTAGCCTTTAAAGAACTTGTCACCGTAGTGTTATCTCTTCCTGAAAAATTCAAGAATTAAAAATGTTATTAGAGATGGATTAAGTGGCATTAATAATCTTAAACATTTTATCTTAAGTCATAATGATTTAGTAGATTTAAACTCTGACACATTTAGTTTATTAAATAATTTAACTCACCTTAAGTTAGTTAGAAACAGAATAATCAGTATTGATAATCATACATTTGAAAAAATGGGAGCATCTTTGAAGATCCTTAATCTGTCATTTAATAATCTTACAGACTTACATCCAAGGGTCCTTAAGCCATTGTCTGCATTGATTCATCTTCAGACACATTGTGATCCTTGGGAATGTAACTGCAAACTTTTGGGCCTTCGAGACTGACTAGCATCTTCAGCTATTACTGTAAACATCTATTGTCAAAATACCCCATTCATGCGTGGCAGAGCGTTACGTTATGTTAAATGGACTGACATTACAAATTGCATTACATCTTCGACAAATGTATCCAGAGCTTGGGCTGTAAAATCTCTTCATATTCATCACAAGACCACTGCATTAATGATGGACTGGCATAAAGTAACCACACATGGGAAACATTTGGAAAATACTGAGACTCAGAGTGTTACTTTCTGGGAAGGAATTCGCACTTCACCTGCCAATAGATTTTTTCAAGAGAATACCCCTGGTAATCCGTTAGAGAATACTACAGTGTTACCTGTGCAAGTGCAACTTACTTCTTCTGTTAACTTGAACTTGGAAAAAAGTGCTCTACCAATTGATGCTGCTTCAGTGTCAGGGAAACCATCACTAATTTGTACCCAAGAAGTTGAGAAGTTGAATGAGGCTTTTGACATTTTGCTAGCTTTTTTCATCTTAGCTTGTATTTTAATCATTTTCTTGATCTACAAAGTTGTTCAATTTAAACAAAAACTAAAGGCACCAGAAAACCCAGGGGAAAATAGACTTGAATATTACAGCTTTTATCAGTCAGCAAGGTATAATGTAACTGCCTCAATTTGTAACACTAGCCCAAATTCTCTAGAAAGCCCTGGTTTGGAGCAGATTCATCTTCATAAACAAATTGTTCCTGAAAGTGAGGCACAAGTCATTCTCTTTGAACATTCTGCTTTATAACCCAACTTAGTATTGATTATATGAAAACAGCAGTGTCAGCCACATGGACATAAAATGGAATGCTTCTCACAGAATTAAACACTTTATTTGGAAATATAATGAATTGACTGTACATAGAATTATTAAATTGTATGGTTTTAATGATTTGTGAATAGTGTATTTATTAAGCAAAATTCCTTTGATAGATTCTATACTAAGAAGTATTAGTATCTAACATTTCTGAATGTCTTTCACTATGTTAAATACTTCAGGGCCGGGGATTTAGCTCAGTGGTTCTGCCACCTGCCCTGCAAGTGCAAGGACCAGAGTTTGATCCCCGGTACCAAAAAAAAAAAACAACAAAAATAGTTTACATATCATTTTTATAAACAGTCTCTTAAGGTAATACTGCCTACATTTTACAGGTAAGGAAACATAGGGAGGGTTTAAGTAATTGTCCTGAATTTTCACACAGTTTGTGACACTGTAGGTTGGACTAGAGCTGATGCTTTTAATTTCTTGCTCTACTGCTGCCAAGGTGCTAGGAGTATAATTGTGAAAAAATAGATATGATTTCTATTCCTGATAGAGCTTGAAATCTAGAGGACACACATGGTTACTGTACAAGTATGGTAAGTGTTCTATTTGGAGATGAAAAAAGTGACATCATGAAAGATACAGTGAGGACATTTGAGCAACAGCATGTCAGAAGGGTTAAAGGAAAAAAAAGAATGATTTTTTTTAGGATCTAAAACTCAGTGTAGCTAGAGTTCATGTGAGTGGTGGTATCAGATTTGAAGCTGGAAAGAGATATCAGATGATGAAGACTATTGTAATGTTGTGCTTTATACTGAGGGCAACAGAGAACCAACCATTGAGGCTTTTAAAGCAGTGGAGAACACCATCAAATTTACCATTTAGAAACTTCATACTTTTTGGAAGAAACAGTAAGACAGAAGGTAGAATTACCTGGGTGGGAATCTGAGTCACTAATCCAGGGGAGAGATGCCTGTACTGGAGACTTGGGCCAGGGGTTGTGGCAGAAAGGATGGATGGATCAAGAGCTACTTTGGGTCAGATGCACTGCCTTGGTAATTGTCTGAGGGCTGGCAAGTGAAGGAAAATTAAAAACTGCTATGTTTTTGGCTTAGGAGAGTTTGTGCTGTGTTTACTGAGAAGAGGAAAAAAGAGGAGCAGAAATATGTATGTGGAAAGACAGTGAGTTTGAATTTAGATGGATTGAATTTGAGGTGCATATCAAATGTCCAAGTGGAAATATCTAGCAAACAGAGGTTTACAAGGGAGATCTGACTGGTAAAGGCCAGTACATTATTCTTAACCTTTCATCATCCAGTACAGTAGAGTAAATGATACATTATTTCCAGTAAGTATTTAGGTCATGACATGGAAAGACTGGTAAGTGGGGAAGAATATAACTTTGCAGAAGATAAAAGAACCCACAGGAAATGTTAGTACCCTTGATTGAGAATCGCTGGTAATTTAAGTCATGAAAGTAAAGTAATACTCTTTTTGTATAAATGTATACATATATACCATGCTGCAGAATATTCTGTATATAGTAAGGTCCATGATTGTTAATGGTGATGTGAGCAAGAGAAAGACACATTTGCATTTTGTGAAAGAGCACTATCATACCTATAGAGAATGGATTGGAGAAAGTAGAATGTTCCTTGTTTGGGAAGTATGAAGTAGTTCAAACTAGAGGCAGAATTGGCTTATAGCATGATATTAATAGAAATGTAAAGAGGTAAGAACAAGTAAATTTCAGAGATGTTGAAGAATTGGGATTTGGGATGGTGAATGAAAAGAAAGGTCAAAACTGGATCCAAGGTTTCTGGCTTAACTGGGTCGAAGGAGATGCTCTTTATTCAGGTAAGAAAAGTTGGAAGGAAGCCTAGTTTTGATTTTCTGGGTTTTTTTTGTTGTTGTTGTCTGTTTGTTTTGTTTTTGTTCGTTGTTAGGGAGACACTCATAAGTTTGGTATTAGTTATCTTTATGTTTTAGGTGCTTGTGAGATTGCCAAGAGCAGACAAAAGAGGATGCAGATGTGTTAGGGCTCCATATCTCAGCAAAAGGTCATTCATCAAGTGTGCTGGCAGTACAGAGGAGGAATTTGCAGGGAGCTTGCTTGAGGCAGGCCTGAGTACAGTGTGATCACCAATTTTTTTCTGGAAGAAAACCACGTAAGACTTTACATTATATTTTGAAAGCTATAAGAAAGTGGTCAAATTTCTATTTATATGAAGTTAATTATAGATATGTAGTTTTAAATACTATAAAATATTACTTAGATGTATTTTTCCTCTTATTTCGTGTTATAATTTTATACACATATTTGTTACACATTTTTAAACCTTAAAGTGCTGTCTTTTGCTTTAACTTTTAAACTTTTTAAAACATTAAAACCATGACATGGTATGGTGGCACATGCCTGTAATCCTAGCACTTGGAAGCTGAGGCAGGAGGATAGCATGAGTTTGAGGCCAACCTGGGCTACATAGTGAGTCCAAGGCCAGCCTGAACTACAAACACAAAGCAAGACCCTGTCTCAAAAAACCAACCAACAAACAAAACCCCACCATCTTCTGCTTCTTCGACAGGTACAGTAGAGTCTTTACTAATGCTGACATCGATGTCATCATTGTTATCAATCAGAATCCCCTTTTAGTTACCTAGGACTGTTTTCTAGAGCACATCACTCTCATGTTGGGTCTTCTTAGCTTGTGACATGTCGGACTTCTGTAAGAATTGAATTACAAGCTACAACAACCTTTTCATATAACTTTAATAACAGCACAATTGGCTTTTTCAATTGTCGTGAAGGTATATCATTTTGATTATTTTATATTTATTAAATAGCTTTGTTTTCAACAATTTCCAACATTTACAATGGTGAGATCATACAACCAACCTCATCATTACCAAACCTCTGTCAAATTCCTTTATCCTTTAAAAATAAAAATTGTGTCACAAGTGACTTTTTTTTCTTTTTTTCTTTTTTTTTTTTTGGGGGACCGGGGATCGAACTTGGGTCCTTGCGCGAAACCACTGAGCTAAATCCCCAGCCCACAAGTGACTTTTAAGTACTCTAAAGAAACATTGATTTTGTTTTGTTTTCGAACCTAATTTTTTTGTCCCAGGTAGTTCTGTACCAGTCATTGATTATCTCCCTTTTCAGGGAACCTTAGTATGTCTTCATTGGGCACTGTTTCTTATAATGTGCATAATCTTTCTCTTGAAAACCATAGGATGACAATTTCTACTCATCCTACTACATATCTTTTAGTTATATCTTACAATCTTGAAGACAGTGCCTTTGTGTGTGCATGCATGTGCATGCTGAAAAGAACACCTCAGATTAATGGAGTGGTTTTTTATTTAAAAGGCTTTGGAAAGATCATTGTTGATTTTAAAATAATCCACTTTCATTTTATGATACTAAATTTCCACTATGAAATTTTAGCCTGTTTCATTGCCAGTATTTGTCAGGAAACTAGATTTTTAAATTTATTTTCCCATGAACATGCAGCAAATTACCATGTGGAAAGGATGTATGTTTCCATTTAAGTGCCAAAAGTATTTGTAGCTTAGGTTCTGGAAAATATCTAAAGGAGGGGAAAGTAATTTTGGTGTAAATGTCACTATTTCATAGTCTCTGATGCTGTGGAACTTCAGAATAAGATGGATAAATCAGGGCTTTGACTCTTTCAATAAAATGTTGTTCCTTGCTTAATTTTGTTAGTGATATAAGCAGAGTTAAGAGAGTATGTTATTTGGTTGTAGCTTTTAATACTTCAGTACTTTTTTATTTTCTTAAATTACCCCAACTTCATTTACTTCTTTTTTTCATTAGTACGTATTTGCAGTACATGTTTGTATTTATCATGAGGAGCTTGTACATGTACATAACACATTTGATTTGTCTGTTTGTTTTTGTTCTTGTTTTGGACCCCTTCCCTTCCTTTGCCTCCCAGCTCCCTTCAACTCTTCTTCCCCTTCCCATTTGCAAAAGCTCTGTTTCCATTTCTTTCTTCAACTCTAATTTTAGAGTGGCTTCAGATATTAATTAGGTATGATTTGTAATTTGTTAATTATGATCTGATTAGATCAGAGAAAATTCCAAAGTGTTTATGTTTCTCTTTGTTTCTGCCTGTTTTCCTTCCAGGATCATGCGATGAAGACATGATGTAAATATGTGAAGCCATCACTTATAGAGACATAATTTAAGATTATATGCTCTGTGATGATGAATTAGTTACCTTAAAAGTAACCTTAAAAAAAATAGTATAAAATGTTCACTAGAAAAATTCTAATAAAAATTGGATAGATAGGAACTGGAGACCTGTATTCAATCTAATATTATTTAGGTTGACCAAATGAATATTAGATTATGTGTGCCTTAGGGGATTGAAGATTTTATTTTCTAATGGCATTTAAGTTTTCAAACACCTATGTTTTGAGTTTACATGATACAAGAGAAATAATTTTAAGGCAGTATCGATTTTTTTTTTTTTTTTTTGGTACTGGGGATCAAACTTGGGTCCTTCTGCTTGCAAGGCAGGTGGCAGAACCACTGAGCTAAATCCCTGGCCTCAGCATAGATTTTTAAGTCAGCTGAATAAATATAAGAATGATTTATTAGTTTCTTTATTACATAGTTTTCAGAAACAAGGAAAAATGACACTGCATTGTTTTTGGAGTTCACATGCTCTACAGCTGTAATCTTTATTACATACTCAGAAAGTTCCTTAAAATCCTTACCTTTAGTAAATGCTTAGACAATATTTAAGAACTATAGTTTTATTTCTGTGTACTTGATTGAAAAAAGTTAACTGAAAACTACATGGAACTGGTTTAAATGATCAGAGGGTTTTTATGCTGAGTACAGCCATTCATTCTCACTCTGAATGTTTGTACCTGTGTAGCATCACCTTCTCAGATAACAGTTGCTTGTTGCTGTCTGTAGAGGATTGCTTTCAGGACCCATTAAAATCTGCAGGTGCTGCAGTGCCTTATATAAAATGATTTAGTGTTTATGTATAA